TTTTTTTTTTTTTTTTTTTGAAAAGAATATACTTAATTTTTTCTCTCGCGTGCTGCGATCTTTGTCGCGCGCGTCAATTCTTTCGTCGACTATGTTAAATCAACGTTAAATTACGCGTCGCTCGCAGAATTTAAATTTGAATTGCTAATTGTAAAAGACAGTACAAAAGTTGCTTAGTTATTTTACGGCATTGACATATACGTGCATTTCTTATCGCGTGTATGCGATCGCCACATGGCGCGGTTGCGCGCTAATATAGTCTCTGAAATGTCAGCGACGCGCACGATATAGTATTACTTAAGTCTATTCAACCTACTTCTACTCCTACACCTCGTGCATTTTTTTGCGCTTAAAGCGAAATAGATACGCGCAGTCGAAGCGAGAATAAGGAAAAAAAAAATATGCAACGACTACAACCATGACGTCAAAATATATAACAAAATATTGCTACGAGCATTAAGTAATTCAAGCGCCGTGTAATATCGATAAGAATAAATCACGCGGGAAGATTTGATTCAGGTAATGCATTTCATTACGCGCAATTTGGAACGTCACGGGCGATTACACATATTCTGCATATGTAGACAGCAATTGTGTAATTAAGTGAACGCATTTAAGCGAATCATCAAGTTTGTCGGCATATATTGTTCTCTGCGATTATTTCGTATTTCTTACTGTCTTTCTTCGCGTTACAATCGATTCTATGAAAATTAATTTTGATATACGTATATTAAAATGCATTTTAAAATTTACTTCAGTAATATCTAACGAGACGATTATTTTAATTTACTTTTAATATTAATTTAATCGGAGAATACAAAATTACAAAACATTAAATATCACACGTATTAAATGCATCATATTTATATAAATAGATCTTAATTATCTATTTTACGCACACATATATAAATTAGTTGCATGTTGTTACATAATTCTTCGCTGGCCGTTTCTTTATTTTAAAGTAAAAACTAGTTCAAGATAATTACTAATGGAATTTCGGAATGATTGTAACATTATCGTCTTATCATCCAAACTCCGTATTTTATATGTTACGTAATATATATATATATACACACATCTGTATATACATGTATAATAATTTGATGAGTTTGTTAACATTAAGATAAGGAGATATTCTCTTCGCGATGTTGATCTGATACTTTGGTATAACGATTAATTGTGAATTTCCCATATTTTAGACAGTCATTTCCTGAGTCATTGTGAAATGAAACGTTTGATAAAATTTATTATTCCTGTCAGAAATCATTATCGCGGTCGTTCTCTTTGAATTAATGTAATATATACGCAAAATGCAACGCACGATGCGTCACCCACTGGCGCGTATTTTTTCCGAAATAAAAAGCGCATTTAACTATTTATCTGCTTCATCGACATTTTTTGATTCTGCAATTCGGAATAGCTCTATCAATACCGTTTCTTTTTGGTAACATTATATCGAGCCAAACTCCATTATATTTATCGCGATGCGATAAACGCACCGGATGCCCTCACCATCTTGAAAAAAAAAAAACCCTGAGAAATCGCGCGATAATACTACATGTATGTATACACGCGTATTTCGCTGTAAAGTAAAATAATTTTCTTAGCGTGAAATAAGATTTTTTTAGTTTAGCATTTTTAATGAACGCGAAAGTCGGCCGCGGCGTAAAAGTGTATTTTTGACCGACCTTTGCATCACGCACGCGTGGCTATTTAAAATTTCGATAATATTTAGCTTTCCACGCTCATGTGTCAGCACACGTAGACCTTCTCTGAACGTCATTCATTTTTAAATGGGTCGTTTTTGACGTAAAAAAGATAACACCTTTACGTTTTTGCAAAAGTAAAGTTAAACTTTATTCATAATTGTCGTCAGTCAAATTTAACGCGAACTGCGCTGTAGTTTTCGATTTTACTCATTTCGTTATAGAATAAATAAATATTGCCCTTTTTTTATCGTCTGATTGGATGTCTAGTTTCTGTTGTGACCCCGATCGATTGCCGACGAAGGTGGTTTTCCTCGAGACTCACTGGCCGTGCGTTGACTTTGTATTGCCGATCGATGCCACGTAGTGAACAAACCGTCTACGCACTACAGCGGTTCACAGGTTAAATTTAACTCGAGACTGGATTGTTTTCACATGTGTGTGTGCTGATGATAAATAGAAATTGTACATTCTTAAAAAATTCACAAATATCTCTTTTGTTTTTTAAATGAGCTATTTTAATATTTTTTAAATTTATTCTTTGTATTGATTAAAAAAACTTTTTATCACGATTTGTAAATATGATGTATCCTGTTGAATCTATTACGGATAAGCGGTTACGCAGTAAATCTGGATCTAGTCTTGAAAATCCTCTACTTCTGATGAAAGATTTCTTTATAGTAACAGAGAATTCGTAGAAATCGACATTCACGTAAGCCTTTCTATAATCTTCGTGATTCCGATTAGCTTTTTACTCTCATATCGTTTCCTCTGCCGTTCTGACACCGACACCAAAATGGGTTATCTTTCTTTCGTAATCGAGACTAGTTTCTTTTTTTAAATTGCACGTTCCCCCTTTCTCCCCAAATTGTTCAACTTGCTCGGTCAAACGCTTCGTGACATGTCTAACGACAATGGCAAGTGGCACGACTGCAGGCTACGTCATGGAAATTTCCTGAACTGACACCTTTCCTCTTCCTATCTTTCTCAGTTTCTCTTTCTTCTTCTCTCTCTTCCTTTCGCGGCGTGTTTCCCCTTCTTCCTTCCGTTCTCTCCCTACTATATTTCTCCATCCCCTCTTTCTAGTTCTCCCGTTCTTCGGTTCCGCCGCTATTCCAGCAAGTCTGGCACGTCCCATGTTCTTCAACTGCTTGGCAATTTTGATGATTTTGGCCAATCGTCTTTCGTTTTCACATCGAGTCTTTCTCTTGTAATCGCCTTTTTTTTTTTTTCAGACTATTACAAGAAGTCATAAATACAGGCGCCGCTCAATTTCCGTCGTAGCAAAGAAATATGGCGGTTCTGAGCGTGTACCAAGGCTTGACCTTGACTATCCACGTTTCCTCTTGCATTAAGAGAGAAGAATAAAGATTTTTTTTCTCTTATTAAAATTCACTCGAACGCTCTAATTAACTTGATTTCGCATATTTAAACTTCCGCTCGCGGAACAATTGCGGATCGCTAAGAGAGCATTTTTAAAATTTACAGTGGAGCCAAATTAAAGATGAAATAATTATTTTCCAATATATTTAACATACATTTGACAAGGTCATCATTACGCATTCTTGCTATCGTACATAGTCGTGCCGTACGAAATTTATAATTTTATGTATACGATTTCTGCTGAGTATGAATTATATAACTGTAGAACAGTTTAGAGAATTCCGAGTAGGGATGATTCAACCGCCATCGCGTTAGTGTACTAATACGAATCCATTTATTTCGCATTCGCAATTAAGTTGCTTGTGTGAGTGCACGTGTCGTAGTCACTGGAAACACGCGGCGAGCGTTTGGTTGCTGAGCTTGCGGGAGTTCAGTGGTCTGTGAGGAATAGAAGTCACGCGAGTTGTCTCGAGACACTATACTGGGTGTCCCAATGAAACTGGACGTCCTTCTAAAAGATGAAGCGACGTTAGCGATCTGTGCGAATCGTTGGAAGAGGAGAACTCGCCGCGCATGAGGGACCACAAGTTAGGCTCAGCCTTTTCACATTAGCTGTTATATAAGGATCAGGCCAGCCAAGATTAGTCATTCAAACGACGCAGACAAAGGTATATACAGATCAGATAATGGTCACAAAAAAGATGACGGAGATAAGAACTTACCGCGAATTGCGTTCCGAGTGTATATATAAAATCGTGTTTAATGACTTTAACGCAGCTTTATTACTCCTTCAACGTTTCCGCTTCTTCATTGTCTCCAATGACAGGGCATAATTGCACGAATTTGATTCGTCCGAATCGTGATTTGGCCGAACCACGCAACCAGATTAAGAAGGTCAATGCTGTTAACGGTAACATGCATTGCGCACGTGTGTACGATGATCTATATAACTATTTGTTCTTTAAATTTTGATATTACAGTAAGATATCGCTCATTCATTTTTCACCTTTTTAAAGTTTTTTTTATACACATACGTACATGTGTATCATTTGTTTTTAATTGAAAAAAATTAATTTCTAAATAAACAATTACGATTAGAAAAGGCTTTTAAATGAAATTTTAATTCATCTTAATCTCACGGCTTCAAGAGAATAAAACTTTGAATGCAAATCCGCGGTATTCTCTTGTTGGCATAATTTGAGAAGCACTGCTCTGTAATACATGTGTATGTAATTCAGGGGCAGCAGCAGAAACGAGAGTGCGAGACTCCCACGCGGGTTCAGCCATGCGTAACGCACCGTTTGTCGGGATGAGGATGTGACGTTGCTGTCAGATTTGTCAATTCGTTATTTCGCTGTCGCCGCCGGCGGCTATAGCTGATTCGCATTAGAGTGTACATATACATCTAC